CCAACTCCTATTAGTGGGGTGGCAAGTTATTGCTTGCTAAACTTGGATTCTAGGTGAGGGCGCATCCCGCGCCATTATGCCAAGAAGCTTTCGACAAATATCTTTTTCGTTTATAATCTTCAACACATCCGCATCAAATTAACTTTTTGAAGAATCAAAAAGTAAATTACATAGCGCTACCTTGTTTCATGAAAACAATTTAGTTTGTACCTGCCCTTTAAATTCACCCCTTGTTCGCCTTTGTCGTTGAATTGACAAATCGTTTCCTAAGATATACGACTTCTCCTAACTCGATCTCCTGTAGTCCGTAAAAATTGTCACGAAAATCCTTGTATTTCATGAAGAACATTTAAAGGGATTAGAAATATTTGAATCCAAAGCCTCTAAATATAAAGCAAAACTAAAGCTGTCACCTGCAATGGAACTCCAATAACTAGTTGTCCAGTGCCTTATTCTCATTAAAACCTTAGAAATAAGGTATTCAAAGTCAATTGTATTCAATCTTCTAGAATTTGGGGTCCACTTGAATATTTAAGAAGTTGATTACCTGCAGCGAACCCAACAACGTTGAAGATCTCATTTTCCCATTCATATCTTTGCAAGTGAATATACATAACTTAACTAATTTTTTTAATATTTATAAATTAGTTATCTCCCTCTTATATTACTTCTGACCAGTTGAATAATTTAGGGAGATTAAGAAAATTATTAAATTCTTTTAAAATATTTATATTTATTATTTTTCTCCAAATTAATTAGACTCACTTATAAATTAATATATAATCTAATGATACACATAAGTATTTTAAAGGGATCATGTAGTATATACTATAATTAAGTACTCCTCTGGTACTTAATATAAAATCTATTTAACTAATTTGATTAAATTAAAAAATTTAAGTGAATTAGTTAATTATAAGAAATATAACATGTTTTTCCTAAAACACTATAGTCATCTTTGTTAATATCCTTCCTCCCCTTGCTTGATTATAGTTAAAAGAATATCCATAGGGGTAATTTAGAAAAAATTAATGAATATAAGAAATAAGTCTTATATTTAGGATCAAAATTAACTTAATAATTAGATCCTATATTAAAGACCGGAGGAGTAATTAATAACTTTTTTAATCTTCTTAGATTAGTTAATTAGATCTTATATTAAAGACTGAAGATAGTATTAAGAATTGGAGGTAGTAATACGGTACACTTTAAGAAAAGCAAAATCTCTCATGAATTTGCATAATTGCAGTTTGATTTGTGTTTTTATTTGGTAACTTCGTAAAAGCATCGTTTTAAGAATGGTTGGTCTGATTGTGTGTGTGTGAAACTAGTTAGACTTCATCACGGGCTTGCGTGACTAACGTGCAGCCTGAGTAATTTGCTTGCGTTCTATAAATTTTTCTTTGGTCAGCTCCTCAACGTTTTGTAATTGTTTCATCATTGTTTATTGTCTTCTCTTTTATATATACACACACAACTTCTCATCCTTAATATAAAACATAGATGACTAATTTGTTAATATTAGAAAATTAGTTAAATTAATTATTTATAATAAAAATGTATAGTCTTTTTTACAATATTCTTATTAATCATTTGCATTGAAACAATTATTGCATACACGGTAGAAATTACTTGGGACAACATAGATAAATATGAGAGTCAAAATAAATTAGAATTTTATATTTAAAATCAAATTAAACCTCTAATAAACTCTTATATTAAAGAGGGGAGGTAGTATTTCACTTATTATATTCTTTATATTATAAGGAATAAAAAATTTGCTAACAAAATTTTATTATTATAATGATAGAAATAAAGCACTCCGCCTGTAAGAGTTCCACATGGCTCTTGTGAGGTCCAAAGGCCGAAGGTAACATAAAGGGAGACCCTAAACAGAGGGCAGAATAAAAAATTGGGAGAAGTTCCCATTTGAAAGTTTATTTACCGAATGGTACCTAAAATATTGGAGATTGTTGAGGTCCTACAATGTAAATAAGTTTCATAATGAAAAGACAAAAATGCCCTTAAAGTTTAGTAAATAAGAGATAGGCAACAACAGATGAAAAAATAAAAGATCAATTGCACATTTAGAGATTTTAGTTGCACATACGAAAGATCAATTATACATATTGAAAATTTGATTACACTCACCATGTTTTGAACTAAATGGAAGATCAATTGCACATGTGGAGATTTTAGTTACACACACGGAAAATCAATTGCACATGATGGAATTTGATTGCACACATCATGTTTTGACCAAAATGGAAGATCAATTTTTAGGGATTTTAGTTGCACATACAGAAAATCAATTGCACATGATGAAAGTTCTATTGCACACCATATTTTGAACAAAATGAAAGATCAATTACACATATAGGGATTTTAGTTGCATATATGAAAGGTCAATTGCACATGATGGAAGTTTGACTGTACACACTATGTTTTGACCAAAATAAAAGATTAATTGCATATTTAGAGATTTTGGTTGCAAATATAGAAGATCAATTGCACGTGATGGAAGTTTGATTACACATACCATGTTTGGACCAAAATAGAAAATCAATTGCACATGTAGGGATTTTAATTGCACAAACAAAAGGTCAATCACACATTTAAGATCAATCACACATTTAGCGCATGTTTGGTGTAGCGTTTCCAGGAGTAAACATGCATTGGACAATGTAAAACGTAAGTTAGAAAGAAATTTGAAGATCACAAATATTTGGATTGTCATTGAGTGTAAATGAACTTATGCCATAAACTGATTTTTTTGTCAATGCTCTAAAGAATAACTTTTGCCTTTTGCACCGCAACTAATGGGGACCACATAGTTGAATGATAAAATGTTTTTATTTTTTGGCTAGAGAGAGGATGCTTTTAGCCTTTTAATATAAGATTCAATAGACTAATTTGAAAAGATTAAAAAAGCTAAATAAATTATTTAATTATATTTTATGTTACATGATCTCTCTAAAATACTTATGTCTATTATTAGATTACATATTAGTTCACAAGTCAAGAAAATTAATATAAAAAATAAATATAAATATTTTAAAATAATTTATTTAACTTTCTTAATCTTTTTAAATTAATTATATATATTTAATTTTATTCTATGTATGTTCAAAATTTTCTCACTCATATTTTTATTTTACAATTATAATTTTAACTATTTTTTAGCAATTATCATATTAATATCATATAATATAAAACATCAATATTCAATAAAGTTTATTTCCCTTTCAGTCATTTTATATGTAAACTTACTTTTTTATTAATTATCCAAACAAGTTTTAGTTTTTTTAACTGACTTTTTTATGAACGTCAATCCAAACATAAATTTATTATATTAATTGATTTTTATTCTAACTTAAGTGTATAAAAGTTAGCTAGAATAAAAGTCAATTTTGTCACTGTTAATCCAAACACACCTTTAGTTACACACATGCAATTGATCTTCCACTTCAATCAAAACATGACGTGTGCAATCAAACTTTTGTCTCGTACAATTGACTTTACGTATGTGCAACTAAAATCACTATATGTGCAATTGATCTTCCATTTTGTTCAAAACATAGTGTGTGCAATCAAACTTCCGTCACATGCAATTGACCTTCCGTATGTGTAAATAGAATCCCTAAACGTGCAATTGATCTTTCATTTTGTTTAAAACATGGTATGTGCAATCGAACTTCTGTCATGAGAAATTGACTTTCCGTATATGCAGCTAAAATCTCTATATGTGCAATTGATTTTTCATTTTGTTCAAAACATAGTGAGTGTAATAGAACTTCCATCATGTGCAATTGATCTTTTGTATATGTAACTAAAATTCCTAAATGTGCAATTGATCTTCTTTTGTTCCTCTATTCTTGCCTATTTTTCATTTATTAAACTTTAAAAGCATTTTTATCTTTTTATTATGAAACTTATTTACACTATCATTTAGCAAATAAATTTTCAAATGGGAATTTATCCCCAGTTCTCCTTAAAAAATTTGATGCCTCCAAAATCAACCTTTCATTCAGAGAGGGAGGGCCAAATGAAAAATTGATCCCTTATAAATCACCCATTTATTCAATATATATATACAGAACATTATTTATAAGTCATAAAAAATTAGCTTACTTTATAGTGTAATGCATACACAATAATATCCAACTAGCTGTTTAGGCCGGCAAATTAGCAAACCAATCTCCAATCTTGATCTCATCAAGAGTTTCATTTAAGTTGGATTTAGAAGGTGTTTGGACTTTGGAACCTCATAAGCATTTTACCAACAAAAAAAAAAGTTCATGCAAGCCGAGCTAAAATTCCTCTTACATACTTATTTCAGGCCCGTAAAAACATTTTTGAAAAGCTAATCCAAATACCTTCTTTTCCATTTTATTAGATGATTTGTGGTCTATATATGAGTCATTTATTATTTGTATATTAATATATTTTTTATTTTAATATTACTTTATTTAGAGTTATATATTAATACTTTGTGTATTTTAATTAAATTATATTATTTTAATCATGATTGCATTGATTAAATTACCTACCCTTAAGTTATTGGCTCGATTGTTTTAATGACCTGTTTAATTTTCTGTATTTTGATCAGATTTAGCTCAAAATAATAGTAAAATGAATTTTTAGAAGCTAAAAAGAGCAAAACTGAGTAAAAATTTAATACAAGTTTCTCTTCATGTGAAATTTATTATTTTTATTTCCAATTAATTAATATTGTATTGCCTATTTTTAATTAATTTTATAATTAACATGTGGGAACATTTTTTTCAGGGGCATAATTGTATTCCCTTCAATGCCTACTAAAGTACCAAATACCAATAGGCCTAAAATTGCCCCCAGTTTTTCCATTTTTTTTTTTTCTACCGAACAATGCCTTCGTATTTTCCCAACGTCATATCCGCCGAATATTCTTTTGTGAAATCCCAACTAGGGTTTGTTTTAACCTTTTCAGCCATATATAAACCTGCGTTTAGTTCACTTTTTCTCTTCGCCTGCGCAACTCACTTCACCCACCGTCGAAATTGCAGTGAAGCTGAGCTAAGCTAACAGCCAACGTAGCAGAATGGAGCAAACTTTCATCATGATTAAGCCCGATGGTGTCCAGAGGGGCCTGGTATTTCCCTACTCGTTTTGCTTTTGTGGTTTTGACTGATTGATGTGTGGACCTTACGCATCTACCTACTGATGCCTTTTAAGTGTGTTTCGAGAAAGATGCGATTTATGCGTAACAGCGTAAGCGTAAGTTTGAAGATAATAGTCGGGATCTGGATTTTTTTGTGATAAATGAGGATAAATGTTCTCCTTTCATGTATCTCTCCTGAGAGAATCCATCGTATTTTGACTTTTTTCTGGTACTGTTATTTTCTGACACGATTAATCGTAATATAAACTGGATTCTTGCAAATTGTTATTTTCCGACATATTTATGAAATGGGATGTTGCTAATTTTTATGAATTCCCGCTAATTACTGACCGATTGAAGTCATAATAACACCAACTCGGTTCCTGCTAATGAGAAATGATTCCCTCCTAATGCTCGAACCTCGATTATTGTGGATTGTATAAAATAATCAAGTTTAGGATCAATTTCTAGTAAATGATTACTTGGTAGTCATATATAACCGAAAGTGGTTGCTCAAAGGTTCTTACTTGTTTCAGGTCGGGGAGATTATCAGCAGATTTGAGAAGAAGGGGTTCTCACTGAAAGGTACTAGTTTACGGCCACGATATGATAACTTTTTAATGATGATACTAATCTGTCACTACAGTTTGTGGCTAGAAAATTTCTTGGCTTCCATCTTGGAGCCGGTTCTGTCAATAAATATGAAGCTTTCTCAAAAGACCACTTTTTACAAAACCATTTGAAGGTCAAGGTTTTGTGACCATTTACGAGACTCGTTACAATTATGTTGTTGTCTATCTAAAATTATGGTTTGATAATAAGCTAATTAAATTTAGTGTTTTAATCAATTTTATATTATTGATTTTGAAGAGGGTGGTAGGAGACATAGATTGTGGTCCTCTGTTTAATTTCAGAAGTTGATGATTATGTTATGTGACTTTGAACTTAGGTCTGAAGCTAATTTCTGTCGACCGTCCTTTTGCTGAGAAGCACTATGAGGACTTGTCTGCAAAGCCCTTCTTTAACGGATTGGTGGATTACATTATCTCTGGTCCTGTTGTTGCTATGATTTGGGAGGGTAAGAATGTTGTGACAACTGGCCGAAAGATAATTGGAGCCACAAACCCAGCACAATCTGAGCCTGGAACAATCCGTGGGGACTATGCCATTGATATTGGCAGGTAGTTGAATAATCTCTCGTTTCTCTTCGTTTGGTTGAAATGATTCGGTTCTTGTTTTCCAAATTAGTCTTGAAAGGTTTTGCAGACTGATACGCTATAGCTGCTGCTCTTAACTTTGTTGCACCGCTGGAATGACTTTCTCTTTCCATTGCACAAAAGCAAGATGCACAATCATTTTATATGGAAAATGAAATAGAATAGATGGAATGAAAAATTAAAAATGATTTTGAGGATGAAAATTGAGCTTGTGATCTCCTTATTTTAAAGAAGAATAATATGAAGAGTAATAAAAGGACAGAAATTGTTGAGTAATGTTTTCAAAATGCAAAATATTGGGGAAAGAGAAATCACTCCATTTTCCGTAGAGCCTAGAATACATAATCATTTTTTTTTTTTTTCATTTCATTCGATTTCTATGTACTGAACATAGTAACTTTTAACTTGGTCGCCAATTCTAATGCTAAATGTTAATTGAAACAGAACTTCATGATTTATGCTTGCACTATGATCTTGAGCAATTGCACCTGAACTTATGAGGACACTATAGTAAACTAGATCTCTTCATGGTTTATTGATTTTAAGAGAGAAAATTGGTTTGCTTATTGAATTTTTCATGAAGTTAGCTTTGAAGTTGCTGGTTTGGCATGCAGTGTAACGAAATTGATCTCTGTGCAGGAATGTCATCCACGGAAGTGATTCTGTTGAAAGTGCAAGGAAGGAAATTGCATTATGGTTCCCCGAAGGTCCTGTCGCTTGGCAGAGCAGCGTCCACAAGTGGATCTATGAGTGAAACTCGACTGCCTCAGCAATTCCATCAATGTTATGATCCGCTGTTGCTAAACTTGTGTTCTTTAGTTATCTCTTTTAACAGTTGAACGTATTTATAAATTTTGATCACTACCTATGTTCGTGAGTGTTTACTGAAGCTTCTTTGGTATTTGATGGTGGTGATGAGTGATGGGTTGCGACTGAAATCTACTTTTGTGGCTTGATAATGCATTAATTTCACCTGTAGCGACCAAATCAGTTCAAGTATGAACTGTACAACTAAATCGTCTGGTTGCCAAGTACTGATGATTACTTGTATGCACAGAGGGTTTCCAATGGATGAATCAATAATTGCAGATTGCTCAAGGTGAAGGTAAATAGGTAATGTCAATGACGACAATGATGATCAACAGAAGTAGCTGCCTAATTGTCATAGTGATGATGGTAAGTGTGATGAAGGATAGAATCGACATTGCTGGGGCATCTGGAATTCAGAAATTTACAATTCACAATCTAATTTTATTTGAAGAATTTTTCCTTCCAATGCAATTATACAAAGCCATGGTCAAGTGTGGCTGAATGAAAATAAATCCGTGGCAGTGATCGGAATTTCCTTTCTAAACATCCCGTGGCTTGCTTTCATGTGGTGAGCTTCCGGAGTAATCCAATGAACAGATTTGTTAGTTCCTCTAAATATTTAATGATAAGTAACAATCTAATTACGTATGACAGAAATGTCTTAATTTTTTTCTCTTCAATAGTACTTACAAAGTAGACGATGCAACGAGTGATATTTAGATCTTTGGCGGAGTCCGTAGGGATATTAACCTTGCTACATCTTCGAGTTTAGGCGTACTTAAAGCCATCTAAGATTCCAGAATAATGTTAGATGAGAATCCTAGCTTTCTTGCAAAATCCTTGATCTAATTGCCGTCATCACAAATGAGGTCTTCACGAGTAGATGCTGTTGGTCTTGGTCTTGCTCCTCATCCGTGCCTCCTATTTGTGATCATCAAGGCCTTTTTCTCGTACGATGGGTGCCAAAATATAATTTGCTGCACCTAACGTCCATATGAACTGGCGAACATGCATATGTGCTCCCTACTTCATTGTTGGCGTTCTATAAGATCTAATCTTGCAATGATAAGGAAGCAAAATTACTAAGTTTAGAATGTTTAACCTATTTAATCCAAACTTCTCTGACTTGTATATTATCATGAAGGATAAGAAGCAAAGTTAAAAGAATTGTAGTCGAAAAGACAAATGCTTCAACCTTATACCAGTTCTTTCGTTTCTAATAAATAATGATACTTTTTCAATCCTAAATATAAAATTTATTTTATAGTATAATTTACATTATAAAATATGCTTTATATTCAGAACTAGAGGAAGAATTAACCTGGAGAAAATCTCACGTTACTTTCCAAATGAAAGCTTTGATTTTTTATTATTTTTATAAGCGGGTCATTTCAAAATCTTATCCTAAACATGAGTTAGCCTTTTTAGCCAGCTTTTCAACGTCTTTATAGGCTCCCCCGTCATTGAGGATTTTCAACAGATCATGTCTTCTTCTACATTAGGGTTTGGGGGTTGGAGCAGGATGATTTGCTTGATGGCTTAACAGCCCTAACTGTATACTATTTCTTATCCTTAATATAAGATCAAGTTGATTAATTTAGAGAGATTAAGAAAGTTATTAAATTATTTAATTATGGCATATGTTACATGATCTTTCTAAAATATTTATGTGCATAATCAAATTATATATCAATTTATAAGTAAGACAAATTAGTTTAGATAAAAACAATAAATATATATACTTTAAAGTAATTTAGTAACTCTATTAATCTCTCTAAATTAGTCAATTAAGTCTTATATTAAGTGTTGGAGTAGTAGCATGAAAAATAGTGATTCATTTTATTCATGTTTCACTTGCCTGTTGTATTCTTAACTGATCCTTTAATGTACAATTGCATCTTTGTTAGATCCAAATATGCCGAGGTTTAGGGAGTGGAGTCAGTTTAACAAGTCAGAATAACATTTTGTCTCCCTTTCCCACTTTTCAACTTATGTTTTCCAAGAATTTATCCCAAACCTTGCCGATGTTATTTCAGGTGTATGAGGATGTTTCTTACTCGAGGTTTTTCACATCAAAATCATTTGTACTTTATTGGAATTTTTTTATCTATCATTTATACTTTATTGGACCTTTTTATAATGGAGAAAGATTGTTACTAACTTTGATTCATCATCTATCATTTTACTTAGTATTTAATTTATAAACAGCTTTTTAATCGTGATTTACGAAACATAAGATAAGCATATGAAAAAAATTTTGTCTCAACTTACGTAAACGTGTGTATTGATTATGGATCCAAACAAGTCCTAAGATCAAAACTGATTTGGATATTATAAAGCTAAACATCTCTAAAATGACAAAACTATCGGAGAACATACGCACAACTCTCTTTTCTCTCCATACCTCTGTTACTTTAGAAACAATTTTTAAACTTTAAACTTCAAAAGATCCTATAAGAGAGAAATAACAAACAAAGGACAGTCCAACATGGGGAGTAGATGTATTTTCTCTGCTATCTTGCTTGCTGAAGCCATGCTAACCATGATGGGATGGATTTGAACGTTCGTGTCTAACCATCAATGTCACAAGCATCTAAGCTGAATATTGATATATTTATATATTACCTCTAGTCCTAATTATAAGAGCTGGTTAACTAATTGAAAGAGATTAAGAAAGTAAGTTAAATTAATTATTTATAATAGGAAAAGCCATATCATAGGTACCTCTACTTTCTCTCAATTTTTAATTTGGTACCTATGTGTTTTTTCCTCTTGATCAAACATTTAATTTTATTTTTTTTTAGCAACATTAACTCTTATAACTTTGTTCTATTGGCATTTTTAGTCTCTATATAAGGATTAATAATGTTAATTGAGCAAAATTAGAGATTTAGTTAAGAACAAAAAACACATAGGTACCAAATTGAAAATTAAAAAAAATACAGGTACGTCCAATATGGTTTTCCCTTTATAATAAATAGAAGTTGTTTTTTCTAAATTATCCTCACTAATCAAGTGAATTAGTTAAAACTATTATTATTAGAAGGATTACCTTGAAAAAAAATATAAATATGAAAGACAAAATGAATTGAAATCTTATATTTAGAATAAAAATAAAATTCAAATGAGGTCTTATATTAAGAACCGGAAGTAGTATATCAGAAGCAGAAAGTGGAAAGGCTTGTGCGCCAATAATAACGCCAAAACACAGCCAAAAAAGAAAAGAAAAGACGACAAATATGTGGGAATTTCTCTTTGGACTCAAATAAGCAGTGTTCGGATTCCTTGACATACGAGAAGAGATAAATGCAAAGAGAAGCCTGTTATACAATACCGCTCCAAGCTGCATTATCCCATTAATGGAGCTCAGAAAATACATACTGAGAAACCAGAATTCATTTCTACCTAAAATTCCTTTTTGGTACCAACCAAACTACATTTCATGACCTGGCAGTTGTGTCTGATAAAATATCATCCTCCAACTAGACCAAGGTTATGCCCCGTTTAAAATCTCGATGACATCTTTCTTAGGTTGGCCCTCACTCTTATTTTGAGCTCGGTTTAGTTGAAAATTCAGGTTAAATGCCAAATTGACTGGAAGAAAAATTATGCTGAGGAGCATTACATGATGTACAAAGACCTTCAAGCTGCAGCTTGTAGACATGGACTAATGTCTATCGCGCAAGAAGCTTGTATGAGGGCAAATCTTCTAGCCGTGTCAAGTCTTCCACCAGAAGCTCTTTCTCCAGCTGACGGCGTGTAGCTTTCATTACTGCCTGTTAGAAAATTAAGTCATGGGTGGAAATCAAGAACAGGCCTTCTATCTCCCAGAAAAGCTCTTAGCGTTATTCCACCCATGTAATTTCCACATGAACAAAATCGACTGCTATCTATCTATTTACTACCTCCAGTCCTTAATATAAAAATTAGTTTGATTTTCAATTTGGTTTTAAATATAAAATGCTAATTCACTTTGTCTCTCATATTTATCCATTTTTTTCCAAGATAGTCTTTACAGTAGTTGCACATGTTAAATGTTTCATCAAATAATAATTCTAGTTAAATAGCTAATACACTTAATTAGCAAGAGTATTTCAGGAAAAACAACACCAATTTATCACAAATAACTAACTTAACTAATTTTCTTAATCTGTCCAAATTAGTCAACTACTTCTTATATTAAAGACCGGAAATAGTATTCTATAAATAACCTATACATGGTTCAGGATAGAAAGCACATACATTAAAATCCATGTAAGACGCTCGCATAGCAAGCCATTGATGATCCATCAACTTGAATGTTATGCAATAAAGAAGATCGAAAGCTGATTCATTCTCTGTCAAGCAAAGATGAACGATTAGTTACTACAAAAGCTAGTTAATTAGATATATCATTTGAACAATAAGAACAGCAACTCTGAAGTATAAATCCACATTAACAAATAATTTTCGTGATTCCCCACATTATTGAAATTGTTAACCTCAGAAGACTCGTATAACCATAATTTCCTTCCAGAAGGAGAAACAGAACAGAATTAGAGATAAAGAATACCTGCAAGAAACTTCAAGAAAATGGCTCCCACCATTGTCCGTGGCTTGACTGCAAAGGCAAGGCAAATTAATTGTTTAGGGATAACATGAAATATATGGCCAAAAACAGAAACATCTTATTCTATAAATTTTTCAGGGTACTGATAAAAGCCAAGGATTTAAATTTTGCACACGAATGATTTCAGCTTAATGCATTCTAACCACAATTATCCAGAAAGAGAAGTGTCTATACATCAAGGAAATAAAGGGTTGAAAAGGCCCACCCAAGGAACTGAGGGAAGGTCACAGAAACTCTCTTGCCGCTTGATGTTTGCTTAAAGGGGCAAAAAGTAACTCCTAAGATGATGAGGCGAGGTGACTTATTTGGTTTCAGGGTTATAGCCAATATGGTTTGGTTTTAATTGAATTTAATTCAGTTTGATCTGGTTTATGACAAATTTTTTTTTTTTTTTTTAAATCTAAGTCATTTGATCATATTAGGGTTTTCAATTTGTTTCACCCAATCCCTTTTTCCTAAAAATTTTCTCAGCTTATTATTCCAAGCATGAGCTGTAGGGCTGTTTTCTCTTTCTCTAACAAATTTATGGCCGCTTGACTCCTTTTTTTATTTTAAAGCTACTAAGGGCCACCACATCATTTTTAGCAGTTAGATTAAATCATTATAAATATTGAACTGTTCTTAGTAGTTAATTTACATGAGGTATCATGTTGGTAGGTAAAACTTAATCAAATTTATCTGTTTGTGGTTGTGTGTGTGAGGGAGGGAGGGAGGATTGGCAGCAACCCACTTTCTTGAGACAAGATGGAAAAAAAAAAAAAAACTACAATAACAAAAGTAAAGAACCTGCTTCAAGATCAAGCATCTGAATAAGCATGAATGTGATATTCACACCAGCAACAGCAAATGGGTATTCCCAAACTGAACGATCTCCTTCCTGCTTCCTCAAAAGGTCTTGAAAAGATTTCTATGAGATGAAAAGTTTAAGTTATATGATGAAGATTACACTGAACAAAAAAAGAGGAAACCTATAAGCCCTGAAAGCTCAAATGAAAATTTTCAATATTTTTGGTTGTACCTATAATAAATTAAAATTCAGTCACTGGGAAATAAGATACAATAAATTGACAAAGTGCCAAGATGAAGCAAAACCCCGGAAGACCATGAGCATACACCTGATACATTTCTAGCCCTAAAAAGAAAACAAGAGGAACAATTTTTCACTGTATACCAAAGATATAGCACTTTCTGCACCAAAAGAGCCAAAAATATTTGTTTGGCCGGGGGGGGGGGAGCAAGGGTTTAAGCAGAAAAGTTCATTTCATACTTAATGTCATTTACTTTGATATGGTCCAATTAGAGAAAAATAGATTAAATAATTAAAGAAATGTCCATCGCACCAAATGCATGCAGACAAAACCAAATGAGTTTATAGAAAGAGTATGGATAAGGAGCAAATGACAAATATATTGAGATGGCAAAGTTTTTTCAGAGTAGAACAGTTCAAATCCAAAAAGACTTCTTCAGATCAATAACAGAAGAGTCTGGATCCACTGACTACTGGTTTTCTTTGTGTATGGCAGGCAGCAAATAGAAGTTCAAATCGGCAATCTATTAATCCCAATAGGTTACATAAATTAATTGGGGTACATAGATCAAGGGGAAAAAAATGCAAGGAAAATCAGCCTTCAAGGTTAAAGCAAATAGACACCCAATAACACCAGTATCGTTTGAAAAATAAAAAAACATGGTTTCTTATGGAAGGCTGACAATATAATTAACTCATTATTTGCTAAATTAATCAGGGGTTCCAAAATTCAGATGAGTTGTTGGTCATAATGGCAAACTTTGCATTTGAAACAATTATTTTAATCAACTAAAACCAAGCCCCAGCCACTAAAATTTTCATTCAAAGATAAGAAAGGAGTAAATTAAAAAAAAAAAAAAATGTAAGAGATCATACCGGAAAATTTCTGGCAAAGAACAGCAAATTCTCCAATGATATGAAACCGCCGCCCCTGCCACATAATTCCACATAAAAACCAAGAGCAACATGGATTTAGACCATTAAGAGATCAGGCACTAAGTAGGAATTAACCAGGACATCCTATACCTAAAGTCTGTTGATGGGTCTTTTCCTTGCCATCCCATTTCCTTCCACTGTTCAGATATCAGACCATGCAGTTCTTCCTCAGGAAAGGCAGCATTCCATAAAGCCCTTAAGGCATCCTAAAATACAGCAGCCATGTGAATTACACCTGTAGATTAAAGAAAAAATTATGTGTGTCGTGGGTGTGTGTGTGTGTGTTTAGTCTAAGCAAGGATGAAATCTTCAATGAAATTAATTTTTGCCAAAAATATTAACAGAAAAGATACCTGGTGCTCTGGTATCGAACCATCATAGGGAATATCTATACGGTTCTGTAGCCTCTGCAGGCACTCCTCCTGAGAGTTCGAGATTCAACATCATGAATATAAGTTGCCGCATATTTATAACTAACAATATTTGGTAAAATAAAACAGTAGGAAGCGAACACATTATGACAATCCTGAAAAGAATACAAGCAGTAGAGCAAACGTTTGAACGAAAATTAAATTTAAAATAGTCAGGTTAAACGTAGGTTTCATGCTACTTTTTTACAATGGATAAATGCAAATGTTGCCAAGGTAAGTGAAATTTTAAATTTAAACTTGACTAAGAAATGAAAGGGCATACATAGCTGCCTAAGGGGTCCAATCCACACTGTTTACTTCCTTTAAATTGTTTAGTATAACACGCAGAGACAATGTACTTTGCCCTATTAAAAGCTGGGCATTTTTAATAAGGACCAAAACACATCAAGAAGTTGAAAAGCAATAAATACAACATAAAAGGAAAAGGGAGGACTTCGCTTTATGATGGCCTCTATTTTTCATATGAAGGCTTTCAGTTTGCAACAACAAAGGCATTGATATTAATTACGAGCTGCAAGTCACAGAGAGGATGAATCAATAGTCTAGACACTCAACGGCACCTTTAATACAGATAGATCTATATGACCATCTTGTCAGATAATTTAAGTTCAGATATGGTAAGCATTTCTTTGTCCACACACATGTAATGGAATTTGGAAGGTTCATCCCCTCTGTTTGATGTCCTGCAAATGGGATTTTATAAGGGAAGTTTTTTCTCCAATGTGTGCGAGATTGAACAGCTTTGTCACATTCATGAGCACCCCAGGCACACTGTTTTATAAACATTTTCCTGTTTAGCAGGATAGCTTATGATCCTTTCTCATTACACTCTATCTTTCCCCTTTATGTCCAATTTTCTTTTTCTTTAATCCAAGGCAAAACTAATCAGGTAACTTCATGGTAACCATATTGATATTTGATTAAACCACAAAAATATTACCTGGGCTGGAGTCAAATCAAACGAGGGACGAGCATCACTCTCTCTCCTCTGTGCACAGACACAGGATAAACCTCTGCCAAGCCATGCAGCTGATCCTGCCACAACCTCAGCTGTAACAATATAAAAGTGTCAGTAAATGAAGATTGATCTTCCAAGTTATGTGATACAAAAATTTGAAATAAGATGACAGCATGTTTTTGTTTCAATTAGCAATTAATCATCCTCTGTACATGATCATAAGTTTGGTCTGAACCATCCAGCTGCTGAATCCCAACAGACAAAAATGTAGCAGGTTATAACTTCAATTTGACTGCAGGGTTGTGCATTACTTGCCACAAGCGACTTGCCAAAACAAAACATATGAGAAGTATAAAGAATAAAATTGGATTTAATTTTGCTATCTAATTAAAAGTAGCCTGGTCCAGTTTGATCCCTGATGAGCATAAAAAACCAGTTCCCACATCCCAGCGAATCAAACAAAGTCCAAAGAAACTTCTAACACATTTCTTTCATGAATTTAGTCACAGCAGACTAAGGCGTTTACTGTTGGAGAATTCAGATTAACGTTCCATTCCGCCCTCACTAAAAACATACATACCGAAACTGCCCTGAACCCACACGCAGCAGACCTTTTCACCATAACATTATGAACCTCAACTTTAAAGCATCCCCATAGAGGACTGGTAACAACTTAATCTATACTCTGCTTCACACTTTGCTATACGGTCCCAGAAAGATAAGTATAGGTCCATTTTCCAATATAATAATAGAGGCGCGTGTCATGAAAGAGAGGGATACAGAGATAACGAGTAACAACTGTAAAGCTGGCAGACTATTATAAGCATACAAAACGGCTCTAATTCTGAACAGTACGGAAAATTAAACGTTGAAGCCACAAAGTAGAATCTTCTATGGTGAAGCCAGTTCGACAGAGGATTTGACATTGCTATCGATCAAACGGGACCAGAGAGAGATTACGAGTCTGAGAGAGGATGCGGTAAAGAAAGATTCTGTGTGCTTATCAATTACGCAAGCCAAAAGTCCTATGTAAGTTTTAGAAGATACTTGAACCAAATTACACAGAAAAGTAATAGAATTAAAATGCGTGAGCGTATGAATTCACCCACCAATGCAATTCAGGATACCATCAAGCATCCTGCAAGTGGGTACTTGGGTTATGATCAAATTACTTGAACATGGTTTGATCTCTACTCAGGGATCTGTGCTTCACAAAATTGAGTGACAAACACGCGCACACACAAAAGAAAGAGAGAAGGGTAGAGAGAGAAATTGCAAAACAAAAAGTAGGAAGCTTCTGTGAAAGTACAAAAGCGAATCAAACCCTTAGGAAATAAAGAGTGGCGAAATAAAAATTACAAAATGATATTTATGAGAATTTAAAGCATTTACCAGAAGTTGAATGGCAGGTATTGCCTCTGTCAAGACCCTGCGAGATCCTCCTGACAGCAACGAATGAGTCACCTCTATCATCCATACCCTCCTATTCCTTCTTCCACAATCACATCATCACCAATCCAGAAGTTCTCACTTTCCCAGAAAATCCAACTCCCAATCCACCAAACAAACTGTAAATGCCACTAAATGAAACGTACAAAATCAAACTCTCCCAAAACCTCCCCACAAAACTCGCTAAAACCCGTAAACCTCAGTGGTAACAATCAAGTGATCAGCCTCAAACGTGGAAAAATCAATACCGAACTGGCCCAAAAAGAGCAAGAATCAGTTCAACAACTAGGCCAGTTCAGATTTTCCCGGAAAAAGGACGGTGGAAAAAAAAAACTAACCGAGTAAGAATGAAGCCGAAACGGAACGAAAATGAAGATGGGAAGGATTGGGGAACGATTAAAAGTGAGAAAGATAAAGAATCTTGAAGGGGAGAGAGCGAGGAATGCAGGCGAGAAAGTGGGTATTACTATAGCAAGATCTGAGAGAAGAAGCAGAAGAAGTCCATGAGAGCCTGCGACTCAAGAATATGGATATCTATTATCTCTCCATCCCTGGCTTCCCCCTAAGGTCTAGCTTTGTGAGTGCGCTTGGTGATGGCGTTGGCGTTTTGTTCAGAGAAAAAGGAGAGTGGATTAATGGGATCTTTTCAGAAAGCAATATTTTCTTTCATTTTTGTGGTTAGACAGACATTTGTTAGTAGGTGAAGCCAGAAAGCTTTGCCGGGGACATCCACAAAATGGAAAATTGCGTAGTTAACTAAATATTAATTTATTATTTATTATCTGTGACCTCTAATTAATATAATCATTCATATCAAATAGACAATTGTTGTATGTTGTATGAAATTTTAAGGTTCAGTTTATTTACAATTTATGTCTATTAATTAATAATTTTTTAAATTTTATTCTTATTGACTCAATAAATACAAATAAAAATAAAATAATTAATGAGAGAAAATGCAAAACATATTTTTAATACACTTTCTTTAATAAGGACAAACATAAAAAAATTATTAATTTAATGTATTTCTTAATTTGCAGACTCGAAATACAATTAAATAGGAATAGGGTGGTACTATGAGTTGATATACATTTAATTTTATATGATAAATTTATATATTGGTGCATTAATATAGTAATAAAATTTATAATAACAAGATTAATTACCAAACAAAATTTATTACAAGATTTGTCAGAGCACATAGAAGTTTTTAATAATATATGGAATTATATATATATATGTAATAAAATGTATCTCATTTTTTCATGATCAACTTTGGTTTTATCATATTTGAGAGCATGCTCATAATATGTAGTTACAAAGAACTAAATGCTCTCAATAGGTCAATAATGCCGTAGGATAACCAATTGGATTGAACGAAAAGAATTAATCCTGCACAGCGTGACAAATTTATGAGCAGGACAAATTCATACCGAAAAAGATGACCAAATTATTTTTTTCTTATTTTGTCATCCATTACCTAAATAGAAAGAGTTATGCTGCAGCACCATATTCATAGAAGAGTTGAGCTTGTGATCTCACGCTTAAACAAAAGCTCAAAGAAAATTTATAGTGTTGTTGGGTTAGAAGTTCCTGATAAAGAGTGAAAAGTCCATTTACTTCAATGAGGAGAAAATTCTCAAAGTAATAACTTAAAGGAAATAATGTAATAAATATACTCATCCGATCCTTAACATAAGAACTAATTATTATGTTAGTTTTAGTCTTAAATATAAGACTTATTTCTCATATTTATCAATTTTTCCTAAATTACCTCTATGGATATTCCCTCAAACATAATTAAGTAGAAGAGGGAGAGAAAATATTAAGAAAGATGATTATAGTGTTTTAGGAAAAACATGTCATATTTTTTATAATTAACTAACTTACCTAACTTTCTTAATCTAATCAAATTAGTTAAATGAGTTTTATATTAAGGACCGAAAGAGTAATACAAAACTGAACATTTCTTAAAGATCAAAATGTGTGAAGATTAATGGAAGGAAGAGAAAAGGCTATAGAAAATCCAAGAGATGATACTGATAATATAATGCAAGCTCTCCTACCGGAGATTATGGATTAAGTAGAAAGACTCGTATGATCGTACCTCCATATATATATATATATACATATATATATATATATATAAAGACTCGTATGATAGCAGATTTGAATTCTAAGAAAGCCATATCTATTTGAATCAATAATATTTGAATACTTTATTACTCAAATAATGACCCCTTCTATAATTTTTTAATATTTTATATTGATATTAATGATTATCTTAATGAAGGGAATCAATTTGAAAAATATATGATTGAAAACACTGCTATATTAATTATTAGTCACTGGTAGAGGTAATGTTTATAGGATTAATGATCTATTATTAGCCGCTAGGAATAATTGAATGGCCAGGATGGGATGAGACGATGGAATCATTATCACCATGAATGTGTTGGGTATTATATCAGTAATGTTGAAATGAAATTTATTTTTATATTTAATTAAATAAAAATAAAATGAAAGGGACTAAATACCCTCACTCAAAAAAATTAATGTCAATTTATAAAATAATTGAATTCGATTTTGCATAAAAATTATTAAAATAGTGAAATTAAAACTTCTCAAATTTGCGGAAGAGTAATAATAACCCATCATCCCACCATGTACCAACCTTACAAAAATTATGTATAATCAAAGTTCTCACAACCTCCCTGTGGTTGTGGGATCAAAAGAGGAAACAGTATAACTCTTTAAAAAAAAAAATCATAGGGTTTAAACATTATGAATGCAATAAATTATATTGAAATAATTACATTTTAATTGGAATTGATAATGCTCAAATGTTAACCCTCAATAATATTACATATACTACCTTCGGTAATTAATATAAAATCTTATTTGATTTTTATTTTGGTTCTAAATATAAAACCTCAATCTACTTTGTCTTTCATATTTATGTATTTTTTCCAAAATAGTCCTCCTAACAATGGTAGTTATAACCAATATACTTAATTAGCAAGGATATTTTAGAAAAGACAACACATATTTATTACAAATAACTAACTTAACTTCTTTCTTTAATCTCCTCAAATTAGTCAATTAGATTTTATAATTAGGACCGGAGATAGTACCATATAGTTATTATATATTAAAAAGAAATTCTCATAAGAAAATTATTCCATTTAGTCAAGATACAAATTCATATTACCTCTATTCTTAATTATAAGACATCTTTTATAGTCAATTTGTGTTGAAGTGTAGCCACGTCCTATAAGGTCACTTTACCTGAATACCTTATTTACATGGAATAAGCCTTGACTTGATCCACAGTCTATAAATAAAATCTTATAATTAAGATCAGAGGTATTACCTCGTAATATATATGTTTTTGGAAATATAGTTGTCAGTATGAAACTTGCGGACTTGTTTGGAAACCTGAAAAGACATATATTTGTTTATATTTTATAAGACCACTTTTTTAATGTATTTATTTCATAGAACTTAAAAAGCAATCCAAACTGTTCCTAATTCTTATATTAATCCCCAAGATTTCCAACTCAATCTATCACACTTGTTGACTAAAAGTCAAAAGAAAATCCGATGACCTATATATATGTAGAGAGAGAGAGAATGAGTTCTTTTATAAAGTGCAAAGAACTTGGGGGTGGGGGAAAAGGGACAACATCATGTGAAAATTCAAATAGAGTCCATCATATTTAATAATGCACTCTTAAATATAGTGATGAGAGAAACAGGGATCATACCTTCACGTGGCATGTTTGCCAAACATGGCCCCCCCTTGACTGATGCCGGACACGTGGCACTCACTGGAGTCTACACTTTCAAGGGGCATCGTACCTTATTACTCACTTAGCTGCGTTAACGTTATCATTTTCTATTGGGACTCTTCACTTGTCATTTAGATCCATTCAATGTCTCCAGAATTTTACTATCGACCGCTCCTCTACTACTACTCATAAAACAAAGAGAAAAAAAAATAGTTTTTTGGTCCTACAGAGCACTAAAATTTTTTTTTATATAGATGTATAATATTACCCCTCATTTATTATTGTGTCGATTTTGTTTATATGAGATATAATGTATATTAAATAGAAATAAAGTTAAGAAGTTATTGAATTTTAGATGAAAATTAATAGAGTTTAAGGTTTTTTTTTGTCTGTGTAAAACATGTTAGAGGTGATTAATAAATAGAACTAGAGGAGTACTCCCTCCATTGCTTATTATAAACTTTAAATAATTAATTCACGGATAACAAAAAATTAGTTAAAAGTAATAAATAAGTTAACAACATACTTTTATTTTTATATATGCCCTTATAGTGAATAAAAAAATAACGAAAGAGAATATGTGAGAAAATATGATAAAAAAAGAGTATAGCAAAAAAAAGAGAATAAATAATTAAGGACTGAATTGAAAAAATTACATTAAATGTTCAAATAAATTTAAATTAAAACTTATAAAATGGGCCACACTCATCGTCAAAATTGAAACTTATAAATAGGATCGAAGCGAGTATAAATCCAATACACACAATCTTTGAGAGCATATTTTTTATTCTTAATATAAGTCACTTCATTAAATTTATTATACAAATATACAGTTTTACTTTTAATTTAGGATTGCATCTAGCATCCCGATTTTATTTTTCATATGCACTCAACCCCCTAATTTTTTAAATGCCATTTTACATGTGATCTTTTAAATTTGGTGGTTGGTGCAATCTCACTCTTTCTTTATCTAAAATCACCATTTTCTTTTCATTTATCTTAGCAGTTAAAATTAACAATCTTGATTTCTTTTATCAAATTATTAACAATTTTCATACCAAGTAACCAAATTACAATCACACCTGAGTACTAAAAAAATGAGCAAGATTACATCAAATTTAATAAATCATGAGTAAAATTACACTATTCAAAAGACTAGGGTGATGGTTGCACTTTTATCCTTTAATTTATTATTTTGGAAACATTTCGGTTCTCACTCATTCATCATATCAAATATTAATAAAATTAAAAGGTTATTAAATTTTAAAATAAAATTAATAAGATTTAAATTTGAAAAAATCGCAAAAAAAGACCTCTGAAATAGAAAAATTGCATGCAGGGATTCGTTCACTTGTCAAAACCCATACTATTGTTGTCAAAATTTATACTAATATTATCATGAGTTTTTGTTTGTAATTTTTCTATTTTGGTGGCTTTTTTGTGATTTTTTCTTTAAATTTTTTCATTCTAATAAAACAGGTTAAAAATGATTTATAAATAGAATGGAAATAGTATATTAAAAGGGATGGAGACATAATATTGGTCCACACGCATGCACTTGGATGAATGGAGTAGAGTGTTTGGCACTTTACGTGGAAATTAGGCATGCAAAGTACTTTTTACTTTATATGGGTTGCCTCGCTTTTTGATGACTAGCCAGCAAGCAAAGTGGCCTCGATCTTCTTCTCCTTTTTCCTTTTTTTTTTTTAATAATTGATTAGACTTGCGATTTATTATTATAAGATTTAGTGGCATTATTCTAAATTTTAATATATTATTTGGTATTGACAATTCATTGTGCTATGTATGTTTTTGACTGATCAAGGAAATTCTCGTCCATTTGGGTTTTT